GAACACACAGATTTTGATGATGAGGAGGAATACATAGAATTAGAACCCCGTGATGCAAAAAGTCCGAAATCTTTCTCAGCGGAAAAATGTTCTGTAAAATTTGAGGACCAATATGAAGAAAAAGAAAAAGAAGAGAACGTGAATTGTGAAGGTAAGAAGCTGGAGTTTGCTTGGGAACATGAGGATATAATAGAACAGCTCAAATGGGAACTGAGGAATGCTAGAACTGGAGGACTGCCCACCATTTTCGAAGAGGAATCGGATTTGGAATCGCCGAAGAAAGAAGATGATCATCGTGTGAATTTGAAGCCCATGAAGATTGAGTTGAAGTTTGGTTACAAAGATCGGATTGAAGAGATCCAGAAAGTGTACAGAATGTATGCAGAAAAGATGAGGAAACTTGACATCTTGAATAACCAGACCATGCATGCAATTGGTAAGTTAATTTTTCTCATTTACATTGAAGCATCAATGTTTTTTTAGCTTTCCAAACTAGGTTTTTTTTTTTTTTTTTTTTTTTTTTTTTTTTTTTTTAAAGTGAAGTTTTTATCTTTCCTTGCTCTAAGTTGCATTAACAAATCAGAAAGTTGTGTATAATCGACGTAGGTAATGCACTATTTCGTGTCCCTTCTTTTGAAGATTATTTAATGGAAAGATTCTCCTGGAGAAAAAGGAAAGTTATATGTGCTATAATCAATTTGGCTCTCACTACCTTATTAAATGAAGATATCAAAACCGTATCTATTGCTATGATCAAGTTAAGTACAAAAACAATAAATAGAAATAATTATTTTTTTTCTTTGATCAGGTTTTCTGCAGCTGAAAGACCAATTCAAATCAATACCAAATCAAAAACCTACTGTTCCAATTATTAAGAGCTTACTACCACGCAAACTACGAAAAGAAGGTGACTCAATTCTTAAATACACTGGAAAGTTGCAAGACGACTTTGAATTGGTGTATGTAGGACAAGTTTGCCTGTCTTGGGAAATCCTTCATTGGCAGCACAGGAAAATCCAAGACTTATTCCAAAACGACGACGCTCGAGGCTCTCATCAGTACAACATAGTCGCCTCCGACTTTCAGCTTTTTCAAGTGCTACTTCAGCGATTCGTAGAGGATGAATCATTTC